GAATTCCCAGTTTTCTGGGAATTTCTGGGAATTCCCAACTATGCAAATTAGCTCTGATTTAAAAAGCTTGGAATTACTGGGAATTTCTGGGAAAGGAAGACTCCAGTTTTGTGAGGACTTGGAATCCCTAGGAATTCCTAGGAATTCTCAGCTTTACAAACTACCTATAATTTAAGAAGTGTGGAACTCTTGAGAATTTCTGGGAATTGAATTTGAGGCAATTTTAATACCCTGAGGTCCACATAAATTCTAAGAAATTCTCAATACCTTGAATGTGAAGGTTTTAAGAAAGAGTCATTTCAGAGGCTTAAAACTTTGGCTCAATAAAAGGTATGCTATACAAAACCTACCAAGAGATATACATACATGTACATGTTTATAACTTAAAGATCATGAAATTTATTACTCAAACTAAGTTTTAGTAAATCTTTAAATTAATATGGATTTTCTCATGAACCAGCTGTCAGTTATGTTAAATGGAAATTGCCAACTTCCACAATAATTAACAATAATTACATTGTTATCTTACTTCCCTAACCTACATTACTGGTTGCCTTTGTTAGAAAACCTTGGAACAGTCAAGCTCAGTTGCCTCAAACGCTGTCAGAGACTTTTTGTTGACAATACTTTTAGAAGAAATTTCATGCCTTAGACAAACAAATTCAACACCTAATTAATCTTTCTTTTTTCATGATTGTTGTTGCTGCTTTTTTTTTCAGTTTTTTGCTCTATTTTCATGACTAATTGCTGTAATTTGTTTTGCTGTTTTTATTCTTACAAAACATTTTTGTAAGAGTTCCAATACTTGTGGATCATCCACACACTTTGCAAACATTTGGCATGCAGACAAGACAGAGGTAGTCAATGTTCCCTTTGAGGAAAAACACCTTTTATATGACGTCTTCAATTTACTTTATTTGAAACTCTGATCTGAAAATATTTGTCAACAAGACTTGTTAGTAGTGAGAAGTACCAACCAAGTTTCCTGTCATAAATTAATCTCTTAAATGTCCCAATCACTGGATCTCCCAAAAAACATTACATCTTTTTATTTTTGGTGCAAATTACAAGTCCTTCTTTATATAAAAATGAAAAGTGCTAGTCACACTTCAATAATAACAGCTCTTAAGTTTACTTGTTGTTCTTCTCTGTCTGTCAGCTATCAGCAAAATTGTTTTATACTTCGGGCAGTGCATAACTATTTGTGGACCAGAGTTCCAACGCACCTCTGTAATCGCATATAGCTACTTCTGTCTCTTGTACAAATGTTTCTCCTTTGTAAGACGCACTCTACTCTGTTGTCAATACTGCTTTAAGTTCATTGGAAACGACTGACTGAGGAATCGAGATGGCGGTGTTGGAACGTGTTGCTGAACGCTTGCTACGGTCAAGCTTTGTAGATGTAGGTACTGGTACACTGGGATCATCTATGTATCTCTTATACTTCCGAATGTGGTATCCTTCTTTTATAAATATGAGGGTAAAAGACGATTTGTAGTCGCATTCAAAACTGTGATTGGCTTGTGTTATTTCTCACCTTTGCCATTAACACAACTCAAGTGAGTTTCGAGTCTTTGTTTCCTCGACAACTTTCGGCCACAAATCGTGCATTTGTAATACGATCGATTCTTGTCGATTATTTCTACATAGAGTGAGCTCACATCTTTATTTATATCACCAAGCTGTCCATCTTCTAGAAGCAGAGAACCGGTCGGAGAAGTCAGAACAAAGTTGGGCACTTCTCCTAACACTGCAATCGGAAAGCCAGCGGATTCACTCTGCTAGCCAATGACAAGTCCTAAAAGATCCACGTGATCATGCCCGTGATCGGAAACAAAGAAGACTCCATCTTTGAATGTACTTTTCATCGGTTGATCGCTTTTCTCAACTGTTTTGCTTAATATAACATTTCTAAAGATAGCTTTTATTGTGGTTCAATGGGAAAACGAGAATAGCGTGAGTGTTGTAAAAGAAAAGAAAGTCGTTGGCGCCGTGGAGTTAAAAGAAGGGACAACAGTTGACATATTGACTGGTACAAACAAGGGTCGAGTGGCCATCTGTAAAGCTACGATTTTGAAAGTTTGTGGTGAGTAAAAATTGCGATATTCGTTACGTGATCAAAATCTTATAAAAGAATAGATGTAGCGGGTTGAATTAAGCTTACATAACGCTCGGCGCAACTGAAACTAGAATAATTCTGAGAATCGAATCGGTCACTTGCATGCCGCAGTTTCTTAAGCTTATTATGCTTTACAATGAAATAAACCTATCAGTAAGGTTTCAAGATTCCTCTAGTCACGTTTGGGAACATTCAAGATTCATAATAGGAACTGTTATTAAACAAACCTTAGTACATAAAGAAGCCCTCCTTGGTAAAAACAAAATAATGTATTCAGACCTTTTTTAGTAAAATCCATGAGAGAGATATACTAACTCCAATATAAAAGTCACTCAATATAACAGAGATTTCTCAATTTGAGAATCCAATGAATGCCCTTTTCCTCATAGCCATCTTAAAAGCCTGGTCTGAGCTTTAAATATACATATTTTAATATATTATTTTTTTTTAAATTCAGATGTCAAGGAATCCAGATACAAAATGGTCAAGGTTCTTGTTGACAACCTCATTCAAGGCCAACTCATTGTGAGCCCAGGAAAAAAAATACAAACAGTACAAACAGCAGCTAAGTTTGCAGTTTAGGATAACTTCATTCTAATTTATTGTTACAGTTACAACAAGATTTTAATCAAAAAATCAATTTTATTTGTCTGTAATTAGCCCCTTCACTCCCAAGAGTGCTTGGTTTTCAAATATAACTTAAGATATTGTATTTTATGGAAAAGAATCAACAGATTTTATTCACAATTTGTGTCAAACCAAATTTAATGATTGATTAGAACTATTTTATATGAATAGCTGTAATTGAGGATTAATCCATATGAAGTTTTCAAGAAAAGAAAAATAAATCAAATTCCATCCTAATATTACCACACATTGATGTTAATAATTAATCAAAAATATTTTACATGTAAGCCTTAAATTAAGCTTCTAAATAAATTTCATTGAATACTTGAATTTTAGCTGGGTTTTTTTAATTTAAAGTATTTATTTTATATCATTAGCCTCAAATTTTTGCTTAAAATTCCCAGTAATTCTTAAACATTCCTTAAAAATTCCCAAAAATTCCCAGAAATTCCCAGAAATTCCTAGGAATTTTTTAGATTTACAGCTTTTCAGGGAAAGTCATTGGTTCTCTGAGTTGGAATTCCTAGGAATTCCTAGGAATTCCAAGTCCTGTTGGCTATAAACTTGGAATTTCTGGGAATTTTTGGGAATTTCTGGGAATTTCTAGGTTTTTAGAACCAGAGTTGTTATGGTTGGGAATTCCTAGGAATTCCTAGGAATTCCCAGTCCAAATTTACCGTGAAAATTCACACCTTTATTCCTAGGAATTCCTAGGAATTCCTAGGAATTCCAAAAGCCATTTCGCAAGGGGAGTTCTGTTGGGGCTTTGCAACACTGGTGCAGTAGTCGTGTGTTAATCAACACACCTGGTTCTGGGTTGCTACAAAGTGTGAGCTGGTGAGGCAAGGTATGCAAGACGTGTCGGCCATGCAAGCCATTGCAAAATAAATTTTTTTAAAGACTTCTAAGAAAATTCCTTAGATGGAAATACATGAAAAATATTATAGTTAAGTATTGTTTTGCAGCTGGAAAATGCTTGCAGAATGAGGACCATCATGCATTGTGTGGCAATGATGTTTATAAGTTCATGATTAATCCTTTTTTCATAATTTAGTAGTATTATAGAAAGCTATTGTTACATTGGCATTAAGAGAAATTTGTAAAGCATGAAAGGATTCACTTTAATTTACAATTAGTAAGTAAAATAGGATGAAATAGCATTGTTCTTTAATTCTTTAATTTCCAGATCAAATTTGTAATTATCCTCACTGTCAACCATACAATTTGTACAATGTTAGGTCAGAGAGTTTAGTATTGGATTAACCAATTATCCCAAATTAAAATTTTTCTTTATTCTCATCACTCATCTGGTTGATATTGTATTGATATTGTGAGGAGAAATTCTGTCTTGGTCACTCATGGGAGTTGAAGGGCCAAGTCACAAAGAAATCCCTCAGGGTTCTTTTAATTAAAAAATTGTGTCTATAGCTTGTCTTTATGCCTTGCATGCCTAGCTGCCTTGTGTATTTTGTAACATTCTTGGTCATTTGCATGTCCAATCAGTAAAAAGTAATTTAACAAATCAGTTAAAGGGTATTATTGAAAGATATTATTTCAGATAGGGTATGTTGCATGCAAAGAGTAATTGCAGTAGTTATATTCAGTATTGCAAAGAAGGGTTTCTTGAGCAACCTAGGCTTTTGAATTGTGTCATTAATTGTGGATATTGAAGCAAAGTCAGGTTAACCTGTGGTTATTAACTTCATACATTATCAGAACCAACTCTTTTTTAGTTTGAAATAATATTAAATCATTCAGTTATTTGCAAACTATCCAATTCACAAACTAATTATAATGATTAATTGATTGATTGTCTTCTTATTTAGTGTACTTTTCATCAAAAAGGCACAGACGTGACACAGGAAATTGTAAGAGAATTTTGGCAGACCTTTCAGTAATTATTGATAATTAGGGTAATTATTGTGGCAGGGCTGTGGCCATGTATTCTATTTCCTAAGACATTAAATGAGTTATAATGTCATATGTGCATTCAGCTGGATAATGGAACTTGCGAGAAAGTAAAGAAATTAGCGAAGTTATTTTTAGAACCTGAAAAAGGAACAGACATTAAGAAAAATTTTGAAAGCAGATTGATGCAGATTTAATATATTTTTACTGCTGCATTAAGTACTGGGGTGTAGGCTATGAAATCCTTATTATTTTGCTGAGTAAAATTTTTGTGAGACAACCAAATTTTGGTAAATTGCATTTAATTGTTGGTTGAAACATTCGCAGCCATCAGTTTAATTTGAGAATGGAATTTTTGTACAAACCTTTCTGCATTGACCTTACTGTACAGGCTATAGGTTTTAATTCAATCTTAAGGAGCTATGAATGTAGAAGAGTGAAAAAATTAAAATTGCTTGAAAAAAGTCCTCAAATTTGCTTACAAAACATTTTGTTGTTGGTGCTGATGGACTGGAACTGCAGGATTAAATACAATGAAATCTATTATCATTGAATACATTGACTTGGCTTTGAATACGAGGAAAAGGTTTGAGTAACATTTGATTCTTACAAAGTTGTCTATTTTAATTTTAGTACCAAGAGGCCCAGCTATAGAGTATGCAAAACTTGATGGTTTGGACACAGCTTACATTGGAACTACAGTCAACATCACTTGTAAAATCCAAGGCTTTGATGGTGTAATGGGCTATTTCTTGAAGAATGACACAATGGTAGATGATGAACCACATAAGTATGAATATTTCAAGCCAAGAGTAATAGTTACACCTCCCAACTATGTTTTCTATCTGGAAATTAAGAATGTCACCATGGAAGATGCAGGAAACTACACATGTGAAGCTTCCAAATATGGACTGGTATCAACGAAAACATTTCTTCTTGAAGTTGGTATGGTAAATGACTCTTTCTTGCATCTATTGAGGTTTTTTTTACACAGTACCATCTACTCTGTGTGGTGATGTATCACCTGCTAATTTTTATGAACCCCCAATCTTATTCTGCTTCCCTTCAGAAATACATGTCTGCAAAATAGTATCCTCTACTTAAAGTTTTGCTATTAATATTAATTATATGTTCTCATCAGCTATTTTGTGAGTGTGTTGGTATTCATTTTGGTCATGCTTGAAGTTAATGGTCTTATAAGATAAGATTGACTGATTCCTACTTGTGATGACTATTTCTCATTCCTGACTTTTATATTGTAAATCTAAAACATCTGTTTGTGTGGATTTGATCTGGAAATCTGTTAGGGAATTTCACTGTTTTCATGATTTGGAAATAAATGTAGCTGTTTTCATTAACTAGAGAAGAATTGAAAAGCCCTCAACAGAATATTGGGCTGAGTTGAAAGGGAGTAGAGTTGGGTTAGACACTGTTGAAACTAAAAATGTGTATTTTCAAGGGGGGTTGTTTTCCAGCTCTGAAAATTCCTCCCAACTGAGCTCCCATAGGACAATGAAGCAATATCACAGTTTTTACAATTAATTGTTTAGGGATTTTTCCCTTAATTTAATCCTTTCACTCCCAAGTGCAAATAGTGAGTAGTTTCTTCCAACACTAATCCATAATTTTTCAAGCAGAAAGGTGATGACAAAAATGAAACATCTAAACTTAAAACAAGTATCTCGGAAGACCTTAATTTATAAAAAAAAAAGTTATTTATAGACAGTGTAGAGAATTGATATTTGGATCCAGGAGACCTCTTTAGCACACCTAGGCTTGACCCTGTCAATCTCAGGAGTGACCAAATAGGAATTTCTTCTCACTGAATCAATACAGTTTCAAGAAGAAATGAAATGAGAAGAAAGAGGAATATTCACCAGGTTATACTTTATTGTCTCTTTATTATTGGTGTCTTCCAGCTGCATTACAAAATTTTATGATATTTATGATCCATGCATGCACAAAAGATCAAATTTTCCTTTGTCATCTGAAGTTTACTCTTTGGGTTTCACAAACCAGCACTCCAGAAGATGTCTTTAGCTTTTATGTTTTGTTTACTCATTATAGGTCATGTGATAATATTATTTTACTGGAGAACTGATGTTTCTTTCGACTTTCCTCTCATTTACATGCATATTTGTATGCATGTATGTACTGTACGCATAATTTACAAACAGTAAAGCTGGAAATTCTCTTGAGACTTGAAATTGGTAAACAAAATATGCAAGTTCAAGATTTCTACTTCAGAAATCATTTTGGTCATCATGGCAGGTAGAGAAAAATTTTGGCTACTGATTTTGCATTCTGTGAGAGGTGCCAGTTTGGGAACCTGTGTTTGGATAATATGAAGGAAGTTGTGATTTTTTTATTACTTCATGTTTATGCTCTAGGGTCAATTGAGGAAAACATTCTCAGTGTTGTCCGATATGAATTTATTTTCTTCTCCTTGAATTCTCAAGTACACTTTTCTTTCTTTGAATATTTTATTTCCAAGGACTAATCAACTGTTTTTTTCTGGCCACCAAATGGTGAATCCATACAAGGTTTAGCTCAGAGCCATATAGATATACCTTTTTAGCTCAATTGTATATATGTTTTATTTTCTCAATAGAAAGCTCAAGGAAATTCCCTCCTTTACCTTTTTTAAACTATGTGTACATTGGGAAAACAGACATACAAGCTATAGGTAAATTTTGTTTTGAATTGTATTGCAGGACCATGTCCAGCAGGTTTTTATTGCCCTCCAGGAAGACGTGATCGCATTCCATGCCCTCAGGGAACATACCAGCCAAACATTAGCCAGACATCTGAACAGGCCTGTAAACCATGTCCTTTCCTTACCAACTCATCAAAGAATCCAAGTGGTATACAACCAAATGTATATGAAGCTGACTGTCCAGGTAGATCCAAGTATTACAAGTAAGGGTACTGCATGGATCTGTAAATCAAAGTACAAGAGCATTTTGCCCTACTTGCTTTTGTGAATCTGTTTCAAGAAACGGTCTGCAACCTGGTTCTTTAACCATTCAGATAAAGAAAATGAAACTGTAACCACTGCTTGTGCTTTGGTCTTTTCATTTGGCCTTTGAACCCTAATGGTATCTTGTGATTGAATTTCATAAAAATATAAATTTTTTTGACATTTGTAATTCAAATTACTCATTTTATTATCCATTTGTTTTAACCAGAGTTGACTGCAACATCACAAGCTGTCACCAAGATTGCCACGACAGACATGGCTGCAACATCACAAGATGTCAGTCAGATTGTCATGATAGGCGTGGCTTGTGCTTTTTTTATTATCATAGTTGTAGCACCTCTATCATTATTTATTGCAAAGAAGAAACGTTGGCTGTGGTTCTCTTCCTCAAGACACAGCCATAATCCAGAGTGTTTCCCTTGCCAGCCAATGTTAGATGAGAATGGAGATATAGAGAATGCTGAGTGTGCTGAAGTTTTGAAACAGTTGCCAGAAATAGGTATTCAATAACTTTTTGCAATGTCTATCACAACAATCTAATCTATACCCAGCTTATGATTTTGCAAGAAAGTACTTAAATGAAAGCTATTTAGTCTGTTAGTTAACCCCAGCCCTCTTTCAGGAATTCAACTTCAACATGCTAAAACACTTACTTAATTTTTTGCCATACATCAGTTCAACCATGTGCTAATTTGTCTCGTTTATGTTCAAGATGTTTACTTGAATCATATTCATTTTGCTTCACTACATTAATGCCTCATCATTTTACCTGTGTTGTTGCATTGTTAAGGTTTGTTTTCAATTTTTACATAGTTTTTTCATTCTGTGTTTTTACTCTGCATTTGTGAGATATTCACTTCTCCCTTTGTGAGTGGAACATAACACTCCAAGATAAAAAAAGTTGTGGCTTAAGCATGAGTTGTGCATTTATCAAAAACCTGGTTGGATTTTGTTTCAGATTATGAACCAAGGCATGACGTGTTTATATGCTATTGTTACAAAGATGTTGGCTGGGTGAAAGAACTTCATGCTGAGCTTGAAAAACGAGGTTTCGAGTGCTGTATTGACTTTAAGACTTTCGCTATTGGTGTACCAATAGTGCAAAACATTACTGAAGCAATTTGCTACAGTAAAAAAACAATTGCAGTACTTTCCCCAGACTTCATTAAAAGTGAGTGGTGTACACATGAGCTACACAAGGCGCTTTCCAGGGTGCGATATCATCAGGTTGTACCAGTTATGTACAAGAACTGTGAAATACCATTTGCTCTTCAAGACACAACCTACCTGGATTGGGAAAACTGCAATGTGAAACCCTACTTCTGGGAACAGCTTGAAAAAGCTTTAAGGAAACCAAATGGCGAGGCTTACAACAGAAGTCATCCCCAAAATGGAAATCAAAGCTCCACAGTCTCTTCAAGTCTCTAAATGGCAGAGCCAGGTAAATTACCTAACATACCTATTTACTCGTGTATGAGTCGACTTTTTGCGACCAAAAAATCAGCCCAAAAGATCACCCTCGAATTATAAACAAGTCATACACAAATACCTGACCCAAGCAATCCAATAAATTAGCAAAACAATAGCCGAAGTCCGTTAGGAAAACCGAGTTTACAAAATCAGTTCCAATTGTGTTGGAGTTTCGTCAGTTTTCAGCGCATTCTTTGTCAACAAAAAAGTTTGAAATAATAAATTTTACGAGTCTTGAATACAAAGCTACTGGAGCTGATTTCGGTTGTGTCTTCTGATCTGTAGAACAGACATTTTTTCGTACAGTTTTGTTGCTGTTTACGGTGCTGAACTTTCGTTTTCATCGATCAGTTGCTTAGTGACCTGGCAAATGTTGTTGTCTCGCGCGATCTTGTTTGTTACGCGCGATCCTTCGAAGCTCTTTGGTGTTCCTTTTGTCTACTAGATCTCCTTTCAATCTCAACAAATAAGATAAAGGTTAGTTAAATGTAAGAAGATTCATTTCAGTGCTATTTATAAAATATGGTAAAATACTTCTCCAGTAAATCGAAGAGCTCATAAAAAGCTCATGTGTGCTTAATCGTGGGAATATAAACAAGTGCTAATACACTTCACAGCACTCGGTTACATTTTGCTCTACAGTTTGTTCAATACATTCTCAGAAATAAGAGTTTAACTTTTTGGGAAATTTCTGTCGGTCTGAATTTTACCTCCTTAACTAGAAATGATGAAGAATCCGATTTTTGTCCTTAAAAATGGGGGGTCGACTCATACACGAGTAAATACGGTACTTAATAATAGACATGAAAAAATTACATGCATCTGGTTGGCTGAAAATTAGTGCATTTTACAAGTAACACAAGTGCAAAGTTGTAAAATGAGAGCAAATTACAAGTAGCACATGCATGCTGCCAATATTTGTCCATTTTGACTTTCTGTGATGCGTTTTTCATTTAAATTATTAACAAGTGACAACATGCTTTGACAAGCAATTTAGTGTAAATAGGCAATTGTAAATTTTTCAAAGATTAGGAATTGCCCTCATCCTATGAGCTTCCTGTGCAGTTTGTTGTCTTTGAAAAATTTACTGCTGCTTATTAACACCAAATTGCACCCAAAATCATGTTATTGCCTATAATTACATAACTTAAACTACTACCATATCCTAGCTTGCTAAATTTAAGTTGAAATTGTGCCTTAATCATGAGGTCTGCATTTTATAGAGATTTTGTACCTTCTCTACTTGTTCGTCAGGAGAAGAAAATGCAGGTTTTTCTTAGCTATAATTTCTTTGGAGATTGAGGTATAGGTGTTCCCTTTTGAGAAAATATGGTTCACTGTAGGGGAGCTTTCTTAGAGGTACATACCGGTAGGCATTTCTTATAGGAATGAGTAATAAGTAATTGTTGTTTCTGAGAAGCCAATGATAATTATGAGCTTCCTGTGCAGTTTGTTGTCTTTGAAAAATTTACTGCTGCTTATTAACACCAAATTGCACCCAAAATCATGTTATTGCCTATAATTACATAACTTAAACTACTACCATATCCTAGCTTGCTAAATTTAAGTTGAAATTGTGCCTTAATCATTAGGTCTGCATTTTATAGAGATTTTGTACCTTCTCTACTTGTTCGTCAGGAGAAGAAAATGCAGGTTTTTCTTAGCTATAATTTCTTTGGAGATTGAGGTATAGGTGTTCCCTTTTGAGAAAATATGGTTCACTGTAGGGGAGCTTTCTTAGAGGTACATACCGGTAGGCATTTCTTATAGGAATGAGTAATAAGTAATTGTTGTTTCTGAGAAGCCAATGATAATTATGAGCTTCCTGTGCAGTTTGTTGTCTTTGAAAAATTTACTGCTGCTTATTAACACCAAATTGCACCCAAAATCATGTTATTGCCTATAATTACATAACTTAAACTACTACCATATCCTAGCTTGCTAAATTTAAGTTGAAATTGTGCCTTAATCATTAGGTCTGCATTTTATAGAGATTTTGTACCTTCTCTACTTGTTCGTCAGGAGAAGAAAATGCAGGTTTTTCTTAGCTATAATTTCTTTGGAGATTGAGGTATAGGTGTTCCCTTTTGAGAAAATATGGTTCACTGTAGGGGAGCTTTCTTAGAGGTACATACTGGTAGGCATTTCTTATAGGAATGAGTAATAAGTAATTGTTGTTTCTGAAAAGCCAATGATAATAGTTATCATTATTAAAGGCCACATGTAGATTAAGGGCGGATTGATTTGAAGCTTCAATAACCCCCTCTGGGCAAACTCTGGGGATTTGTCTGTTGCTTGTGCCCCAGAGGTGGTGAATTTGAACCATTGCTGAGTGGGGTGGAAGTTTAAATCAGTGGAATACACAAGGCATTTAAAGGTAAAGACTGAGTTTGCTTTTGTGAGTGATTGGCACAATGGGAAATTATCACTTTGTAGGATGATGCTTCCACCAAAAAACCAAACAACAGCATTGAAAACTTTTTTAAATTCAACAATTTTCCTTGATCACACAAAGATTCATTCAACATGTGTGCTTGGGTAGGGCATTTGAATGCAACTTTTTGTCCAGGGAAGGGGGGGAGGAGGTTGTTGAAGCTTTGAGTTGGTAGTGAGACAATTAATAAAGAAAGATAATTACTATTAATATTATTGGTAATGCTACAAGTTAAATATTGAATATTAAATACTATGTTTATTATATAATACACAGTGTTTTGCAAGGAGATGAGCAGCAGTGTTTTACATTATTGCACAGAATCATTTTTATGAGTGTTTAATATCACCAATCAGCACCTTTTGTGCCACTCAGTCAGGTTGATGAATGAATGGCAAAGTTTCTACTAATCTCAATCAGAGATTGTTTGTCAACTTTCCTTTTCAGCAAAGGCCTTTGTTGTTTAAATGATAGACAAATAATACATAGTTGTTTGTAAAAAAAGAATTTCTTCCATATCTCCATATCTTAGCAAACCCAGAACTATTTTCTATTTATTTATTTCTGATATTGATTTAACTTATTGGCTCAAATTTTTGATCTAGGGGATCTCCAAACAAATGTAAGGTTTCATTTCAAACAATTTTTATATCTTTTCACTACCAAGAACTGAAAAGACATTCTGCTATAAGAACTACAGTTGTACCCTTCCAACTCAAACTCAGTTTACTCAAAGCCCCTGGTAACTCGAACAAGATGCCCTGTCCATTTACCCCGTTATTTAGGTCATTTACTATCAGCTAAGTCAAACCTTCCCTAACTTCAACTGTTCTTTGTTTCCCTTTGTAGCCCTAGTTAGCAGGTTTCTTGTGCTTTTTAATCAGGGCAGTTCATGAAAAGTACATTTATTTGATATACACTTAAAGTCTGGTTCCTTGGGAAACAGCTGTTTTCCCCTTCAGTATCAATGTTTCCTAAGACAAAGGCAAGAGAAATATGGAGACTCAAGGGTAAACAAAATGGAGCTGTTTCCGGGAACCCAGACATTACATGCTTTGTTATACATCCAGAGGACAAAACCCATTGAGTTTTCAGTAACTAGCAGAGAGCTAGTAACAAATTGTCTTGAAGACAGCTTAAAAGTTATTAGCCCTCAATTTTTATGCACAATAGTTCACTTAAGCTTTGTACTCGTCAACTATCAAGCAATGGAAATCACAAGCTACACTGTAACAATCTAATTTTTTTCATAGTAAAAGTGCACATTTAACCCTTTATCTCCCAGAAGTGATTAACATGAAACTTCTCTCTAAATTATATAAACATATGACTGGAAAACAGGTAATGAGAATATTCAAACTTATCAGGTATAAGTCATTATCCTGATTTAACACCAAATTCTTGTTGCTGATTTTTCAAGGAAATGTGTAGCAGCTAGAGGGGAGAAGTAACAAGATGATCTTGGGAGTTAAAGGGTTAAAGACTAAATAAAATTTTTTAGATAGCTTTTACAAATAGATTACAAGAAAAAAGTTAAATTTATAAAGCCTTTAGATTAGTTTAAGCTTGTTTTCAAAAGCTAATGTAAATTCTATTCCAAACAGATCTTTTTTTTGTTGACAAAATTGAAAAGCAGAAAATTAACGGAGGTCCTTTTAACCTGACAAGAAAAATGATTCTTAATTCTTAATTTCGGTAGTAATCTAATTTTTTAATAGAAGTGTTAAAATTGACTTTTATAGAGTCTATAAAGTTGCAGTTATCTTTTGTGTATTTTAATAAATTAAACATCAAAGTTAATGTAAAGTCACTTTCTTTGCTGTACATCTCAGTGGGGTTCACTCGCACCCATCTGGGATGGGTGGGGAGGGAGGCAGGGAGAAGTTGGACAGGCACTAGTACTCCCATGTGAAATACTGTATTTCCTCTAATAAGTTCCCTCGCACAAATGAGCTTCCAACCCCTGAGCCCTTACGTCAAAAAAGCATTATTCTCACAAGTGACCCCCTCTCCTACCTCACTTTTTTGAATAATCAGGACACGAGGCAATCCCGTTTCTATTGCCACTTAGGCTACATACATCTTTTTAAGTGTCAACTACAGGAGAATAGTTTCTTTTCTTTTCTGTCAAGTAACTTACATTTACTCTTCTACCTCCATATTGACTTCACATCAAAGAGGATAATGTGAATAAACGTTTGTGTTTTTCTCTAAAAGATTTAGGCAAAATAAAGTTAAAGTTTGTTGGAAGGAAACCATTTTAAGTCCTTCCCCCCTTGATTGAGCACTCTCATCCAATAAGTGCCCCTCCTTTTTGCTGAAATTGTAAATTAAAGGGTGTAAACACAAATCAGAGGAAATAGGAAAATATTCTTTAATAATGTACATGAAAAAATTATGCACCTCTGATTGGTTGAAAATGAGTATCCTTATGTAACACCAGTGCAAATAACAAATAGCATGGACAGCCTTTCAAAATTAGGTCTGTCTTATCTTGGCAATGTTTTTTCATGTGCATTATTGACAAGTGATGACATGATTTCTCTTGCAATTTGGTGTAATATGCACTTGAAACTTTTTCATACACCACAAATTGCACTTGCCCTATGGGCTTGTGCAATTTTGTTGTCTTTGAAGAATTTACTTGTGCTTGCTTATTTACATGGATATATTTAACAAATATTAAACATCAAAGTTGATATAAAGACACTTTCTTTGCTGTACATTTAAGTGAGGTTTACTCGCACCCATCTGGCGTGGGTAGGCAGGGGGACAGGGACAAGTTGAGCAGACACTCCCACGTGAAATACTGTATTTTCTCCAATAAGTGCCTTTACTCTACATGTAATAAGCACCTTCCCACAAATAAGCACCCAACCCCTAGGCCCTAATGTCAAACAAGCAGACCTCTCGTATGAGGGGCCCCCCCTCTCCTCCTTCATTTTCTTGATTCTTTACACCCCAATATCAGTATGCATATTCTCCATAATGAGTGCAATCCCCCATTCTCTCATGAACCTAGGTAGAAAGGATTTCCCAAAGGTGTGTAGAACTATAAATGTCTCGCACTTCTGTTATACCTGACTTCAGGCTTTTTAAGT